CTCAGAAGTAGCCAGCCTTTCAGGGTCACTGGTATCTCTTCTGCAGCCTCCTCTTCGACCCCAGAAACTCCTCCTGTACTTTTGGTCCCTTTGGGTTCAACTTCTTTTGTACATGTGGAATCATATGACCTGTGTCTCTGCATCTGGCTGTTTTCACTGAGCATGGTTTGTCCAGTGTACAGGCGTGTCTTGGTCTGTTTCATCCCTCGATGCTAGGTAGTATTCCCCCAGGTACTGTGGATCCATTTATCAGTAGGTGACGTGGGGGCTGTTTTACTTACTTTTAAAAATTTATATTTGAAAGGAAAATTTTACAAAGAGAAGGAGACAGAAAGGTCAGCCTTTCATCCTTTCTTTCACTCCCCAAATGGCTGCAACAGCCAGAGCTGAGCTGATCTGAAGCCGGGAGCCAGGAGCCTTTTCCAGGACTCCCCCACAGGTACAGGGTCCCAAGGACTTGGACCACCCCTCACTGCTCTCCCAGGCCATTAAGCAGGAGCTGGATTGGAAGTGGAGCAGCTGGAACACAAACCAGTGCTCATATGGGGTGACAGTGCTAGCAGGTAGATAAATTTGCTGCACCACCATGTTTGCCCCTGCTATATGTTTTATTATAACCACCACCCTGGCATGGGTGGAGAGTGTCACTGTGCTTTTTATTGACACCATCTTAAGGACTAACGATGTTGAACATCCTTTCAGACACTTGCTTATTTTTTTTTAATTGCTGTTGGGGAAAATTCTATTTAAATCCTTTACGCATTTCAAAAACAAGCTGTCTTGTGTTGTGAGAGTTTGTCATGCATCCTAGGCCCAAGTCCCTCACCCACAGAGTCAGTTTGCACGTATTTTCTGTGGATTGCCTTTTTACTTCCTTGAGAGAGTTCTTGGAAGGAAAAAGGCTTCACAATTTATTTGAAAGGCAGGATGACAGGGAGAGAGAAATGTTCCATCCACGGATTCAGTTTCCAAGTACGTAAAACAGCCGAGTCTGGGCCAGGCCAAAGCCAGGAGCCAGGAATTCCAGTCTGTGTGTGGCAGGAAGCCAAGCACCAGGGCTAACTTCTTCTGCTTCCTTCCCCAGGTACACTAGCAAGAAGCTAGAGTGGAAGCGGAATAGCATAGAATCTGGCGTTGCCATCAGTAGCTTAATCCTTTGTGCTGCAACATTGGCCCTTGGTTTTGTACTTTTATCCTTTCATAGTTTAATTAATTGAATTCTTTGAGTGTTGATCAAGGCTGTTTCTTAGTCTGTTTATTAAGTTTTATTTATTTGCTTGAAAGTCAAAGTAGCAAAGAGAGAATTCACCTGCTAGTTCACTCCCCAAATTTCTACAGTAGCCAAGTCAGCGCCAGGTCAAAACCTGGAGCCAGGAACCTCTTTGGACTTTCCTGCATGAATTCAGGGGTACAGGGACTTGGCCATCCTCTGCTGTCCTCCCAGGCACATTAGCAGAGAGTTGGATTAGAAGTATAGCCACTGGGACTCGAACTGGTGCCTATATTGGATGCCAGTACTGCATTTGGCAGCTTTATGCACTCTGCCACAGCACCAGAGGCAGTATGTATAGATTTTATTAGAAATACAGAGACAGGTGAACAGAGTTCTTATCTGTTGGTTCACTTCCCAAATGCTTGCACTGGCCCCTCACGGGCCTAAGCTGGGAACTGGGAACTAGGCCAAGTTTCCCACATGGGTGGCAGGGACCCAGATATTTGAGCCCTCACCTACTGCTTGCCAGGCTTGGTATCAGCCAGAAGTGGAACTGGGGGAGAGTAGGGAGCCGTTAGCTAGCTGTGTTCCCCTGGTCGGTTGCTGTCTGTAGTGGTGATTAAACAGAAATGAAATTAGTGAGTCAAAGGTTAGAAATGTTTGAGTTTCCTTTCTGTTTGTGAAATTGCTTTCTAGAAACTTTGTATCAAGTAACTCCTGCCTGCCAAGTCCAAGGCGTCTTTCAATGCCTCCTTTCAGTACTGCATGTTGGCATTAGCAGTTCGTAATTGTGGTTCATTTGGGCCCTTTGATGTCCTTTGCCCCTTGGCAATTGGCACAATTGTGTTTTTCCAAGTTCCCCCCCACCCCCCCACTCTAAAATGACTTTGGCCAAGTAATGTATTTTCATGGTGTTTTTGATCTGTTTTTATTGTGTTCTGGAGACAGTGACAGAGAGTGAGTAAGCACCTGTTTGTTGCTTTACTCCTTGGCCGCTTGCCTTGACCAGTACTGGACTGAACTAAAGCTGGGAGCTGGGGGGGAAGTCTGGTTTTGGCATGTGGGTGGAGGGACCCAGTTCTCTTAGCCACAACCCCTGTTGCCTCTGAAAGTCTGCATCAGCAGGAGGCTGGAGTCGGGGTCAGAGCTGGGCATGAAACTCAGTCCTCTGGCGTGGGGTACAGGTCTCTTATGCGGCGTGCTGAGTGATTGCTCGTCATGGTCTAGTATTCCTGACTGTGCTTGCTGGATAGGGGTTTGTGCTTCTTTAGCAGGTGACTGGAATGGTTCTGCGCTTTCTCTCTTCCCTTCATTTAAGGTTTCCCAGTAATATAAGGTCCTGTGCAATAAGAATAGCTAAAATGCACCTGAAAGGCTAGCTCTTGTTGGAAACATAATTTTATTAATATTATTTGAAAGTGACAGACAGCTGAAGGGCAGGGAGAGACTAAACATTCCCTAAGTGATTGCAATAGCCCAGTCTGCACAGGTTGAAGCCAGTAGGTTGCAGCCCAGCCATTGTGGGAATCAACCAGCAGATGAAAGATCTCTCTCTCTCTCTCCTCTCTGTAAATCTGCCTTTCTAATAAAAATAAGTAAATTAGGAATAGAGATTCTGATTAGAGAGTTGTGGAAATGTTGAATATATACATTGGGTGTGTGTTGTTTTGCCTTTCAAACAAGGCTGCCTGAAAGAGACACTTGTGGCTGGAGTAGATGAGTTACAACTACAACCTTGTGGGGTCCGTGTTGTGGCATAGCACACTGAACTTCAGGAATGTGGTGCCGGCATCCCATTTGGGCTCTGGTTCTAGTCTCAGCTGCTCTACTTCTGATTCAGCTAATGGCCTGGAAAGCAGTGAAGGATCATCCAAGTGCTTGGGTCCCTAAACCATGTGGGAGACCTGGAAAAACCTCGTAGCTCTTGGCTTAGGCCTCAGTAATTCACAGCCTAACTTTCATGGCCACCTGGGGATGAACCAGTGGATGGAAGACCTTACTCTCTGTGTCTTTGCTTTGCTTTCGTAAATCTGCCTCTCCAATAAAAAAATTAAAACAAAAATTTACTTTTATTGGAAAGGCAGATCAGATTTATAGAGAGAAGGAGAGACAAAGAGAAATCCCCTAATGGCCTCAAGGGCTGGAGGTGAGCCAATTAAGAGCCAGGAGCTTCCTCTGGGTCTCTCAAGCATGTGCAGGGTCCCAAGGCTTTGGGCCATCCTCGTCTGCTTTCCCAGGCCACAAGCAGGGAGCTGGATGGGAAGTGGAGCAGCCAGGACACAAACCAGTGACCATGTGAGATCCCAGTGCTTGCAAGGTGAGGATTAAGCATTGAGCCATTGCATTGTATCATAAATTGAATTCTTTATATATACCTATAAAGGATTTTATTTGAAAGCCAGAGATAGAGATCATCCATCTGTTCACCTCCCAGATGGCTGCTGTCTTTAGGCTGGTCCAATGTGCTTGGTGCTGGGGCTAGAACAGTCATCAGAACACTTGTCGTGAGATATAACCACCAGCAGGTGAGATAGGTGAAGCGCTCAGAAGAAAAATATTAAGTCTTATGTTTAATGCTAGCAATAATTAGAGATGAGCGTTGATGCACCACTGTTGGCACTCAAATGGTTTAGCGAATCAAAACTTAGCCATGAAAGCATTGCTTTCACACGTAGATGTTAACCTCATTTGAAAGGTAAAGCACCTTGCTAAAGACTCCAAACGGACCCAGTAGTCAAAAGCCTTCAACATTCCAAAGAAGGTGAAGCTTCCTGGAGAAATTATCCAACATCTAAGAGGAAATTCTATAACTTACTGGTTGTGTTTCTTAACAGCTTACTGTGGCTTGGGCCAGAAAATGTTTTTAAAGGAGAACCCTTCAAATTTTGCAATCAAGTTGATGAATTAGCAGTTGCCATAAATCCATTGAAGGTTATTTTGGTTTTCAAAGAAAGTTTGTCCCAGTTCTTGGAAGCTGAAGGACAGCTGACTTTGCTTTACAGTGATGAGATGCACACCTGTACTTTACAATATACTCCTAGATACTGTTTTCATAGCCTCGCCTTTAGCATGCACTCACTATGCAGTCATGTGACAACGGGAATGACAGTGCACGCCAGTGCAAAGTGTTCGTTTTCCAAGCCGGGTACAGACTTAGACATGCCGACCTGCTGTGTGCCTCCTGCCATCTGTGTATTGATAACCACCGATGTTTGTCCTCACTTCAGGTTTCCAGGCAGCCTCAACAGCTGTCATCCATTTCTTGCTGGCCTGCCCTGAGACAGTGTATTCTACTGACCCATCCAAGGGTGCAGGAAGTTCTTTGGAAAGGAACGTGTTCCATGGCTTCTCGGCCTTTTGGCTAAGATCAAGTGTAGGAACATGTCCCAAACAAAGCTTGGATTTCTTCACTTGGGGTGTGGCTGCGTGTTTCAGCAGATGAGAAGGCAGGTGCTTTCGTGGTGTCTGTGTAAGAAGCTGCTCTTCCTCCCACACCTCCTGAGCCAGCCAGCTGTGGCTCTGAATGCTGTGTGCAGTCGCTGCTGCTCTTTCTTGGTTCAGCCAGGAAAGGAGATGAAAGCCGGGGCTCCAGGGATGGGCAGCAGGGAGGAGCCAGCCATATGTTCCAAGGTTCTTCCTGCAGCCCAGAGCCCCCAGCTTCCTTCCTTTCTTGCGACCTACCCCCTTCTCTTTTTCATTGTAATGACTTAGTTGTAAAACATGTTCCTGCCCTGTTCATAACTTGGGAAACTGAAAAATTTTTAATTTTCTCTCCCCCACCTGCTAGGTGCTGGATAGTTTACTAGTCCAGTATGGAGTGGTGGAGAGCTGTGAGCAAGGTACCTGTCTTCTGCATTGCTTTCAAATTGGGGAAAGGAAGGAAGTGGAAAGCAAACTAACTTGATTCTCTCCATTTTTCTCTTCCTCTAGTGAACACTGACTCGGAAACCGCGGTCGTAAATGTAACCTATTCCAGTAAGGACCAAGCTAGACAGTAAGCCGCTTGACTCTTCTTGTCTCTACGTTAATAACTAGACCAAGAACAGTAACTTGGGCTTTTGTGGATTCCTAAATTGGAGAAGGGCTGGTGAGCAGCCAGAAGACGGTTCATTTTGCAAAGTTGGACTCTGCAGCTGAGCCTTTCCTTCTAAGTTTGAGTGTCTAGTAAGACTCTTGTGGGTTAAAGTTGTATTTCATTTTTTTGTGTCTCGGGTGCCAGCTTTAGAGTGATCTGGCATGAAGTTAATTGTACCCACTGTGTAAGAGAGCTCCGGACCTAGCTGGTGTTACAGATTACATACAGGCTCCCCCACTCTCCTGTTTTACTCAAATGACATGTACATTACTACTATTCCATCCAGAGCTGGTAAGTTGATCTTGCATTCATCCACCAACAGTGCTGAATGTTAAGTCTTGCTGATTTCTCTTAGGATTGCTGTTGTCATAAAAGGGTTTGCAAACACGGGGCCCATGTTGTTTGCTCTTAGACTGAGGACTTAAGTACACTGCCATACATAGACAGGTTTGGTCACAACCTGTCTATGCACAACAGGTTTGGTTTCTCCGAAGAGGAGATGATTGTGTAGGCAGTGGTCCAAGAAGCCGTGCTTTGGGGAGGGAGAGCGGGGATCCCATAAACACTGCTCTGAACAGTTCTCAGGCCATGAGGTCAGCAGAGTGGCGGATGACTCCACCAGCAGTAAGTGCCAAGGCTCTGCTAACTCTGCAAGTCTGACCAGTTCCAGGCACCAGGGGGCCAGAACAGACTGTGATCTGTGTGGCAAATTGAATAGATATACCACACTGGCTGACCTTGAGCCCTCACAGCAAAGCAAGCTGCGAAAGTTGGCAATACAGCTGGGGTGCTCCCTCTGCATGGCACTGTGGAAGAAACAGCACAACTAGAAAAAGAGAAGGACATTGACTTGGTGCACACAGAACTTTATTTCTTACTCACAAAATTCACTTTTATTTGAAAGGCAGATTTACAGAGGAAACAGAGCTTCCATCCTCTGATTTACCTACTCCCCTCAAATGGCCAGATTGTCCGGAGCTGAGTCAATCTGAAGCCAGGAGCCAGCACCTGCTTCCTGGTGTCCCACATGGTTTGACTTGAGCTGTTCTCTACAGCTTCCTCAGGTCATAAGCAGGAAGCTGCATGGGAAGTGGAATAGCTGGGACATAAACTGGTGTCATAAGATGCTGGCACTGGCAGACAGAGGATTAGTTTACTACACCACGACGCCAGCACCCGGAACTTCATTCTTACCTCGGCAGTATTCTCCTGTAGCTCAGTCTGCCAGCATTGTCAGGAAGCTGGAGTCGGGAGCCACAGCTGGGAACCAAACCAGGTAGCTGGGAAGTAGGAAGCAGACATCACCATCAGTGTATTAACCACTGGACCAAGATCCTGCCCTCATTAAAATTTGTTTTGTTTTGTTTTACCAGGTTATAGGAGATCTTGGTCATTATAGAGACTGTGGTATGAGTTGTAAAACAGATTTGGTCCCTGTGTGGTAGCCGAGTGGCTAAAGTCCTTGCCTTACGTACACCAGGATCCCATATGGGCGCTGGTGCTAATCCAGGCGGCCCTGCTTCCCATCCAGCTCCCTGCTTGTGGCCTGGGAAGGCAGTTGAGGATGGCTCAAAGCCTTGGCATCCTGCACCTGTGTGGGAGACCCAGAGGAGGCTCCGGGCTCCTGGCTTTAGATCAGCTCAGCTCCAGCCATTGTGGCTGCTTGGGGAGTGAGTCAGTGGATGGAAGAACTCCCTCTCTGTCGTTCCTCCTCTCTGTATATCTGACTGCAATAAAAAATAAATCTTAAAAAAATTAGATTCATGCTACACATTTGTTTTTTACCCATGTCACAGAAATCTCCTATACCCTGAAATTAGGGTGTGAAAATGGGAGTAGTGAGAAAGCAGTGATTTCCATGATTTTACAGTTTATACTAAATACATAATAGATACAAGTCTTTACTGATAAGAAGTAAGGAATGATGAACTTAAGGGTGTTTGGAAATTGTCGGAGGCCTGTCCTAATTGCTTTATTTGAAAACTCATGTGAGGCTTGATAAAATGGACAAATTCTCAGTTTAATAAAATGAGTGGCTGCGTGTGGGAGACACAGCCTGCCTAGCTTTGAGTGGGACAAGATAAAGTTTAGTACCAACCAGGGAACTGCCATTAGGGCCCTCCTCTTTAGTAAACATGAGTCCTTAGATATACAGCCATGAGAGGTCAAAACAGTGAAGACAAAAGCAGTGCTGAAAATCGCAGTAATGTTGTCAAAAAAACAAAACAAAAAACAACCTTCCCACAGTGATTGTTATAGACTTAACAAAGAGCACTGCTGATCCTGGACCAGGTGCATTGTGGAGGTAGAATGGTTCTTACAAGTTATGTAAAGCAGGTAAATTAGAAAACTAAGCAAATAGGCTACAATTTCCACGTTAGGGAAGTAGGGTAACTAATCTTAGTGGAGGTGGTGGAGATGGTGGTCAATCTGGCCGCCCTGATGTAACCTTTCTACTCTGAGCTTTGAGTTTTCCTAAGTTACAAAATGAGTGTTGAAAAGACACAACTAGGCCAACTACGTGGCTCAGCAAGTTGTGTAGTGGCTTGCAACATTAGCATCCCACGTGAACACCAGTTTGAGTCCTGGCTGATTCAGGTCCCTACTGATGAGCTTGGTGAAGAAATTGAAAGATGACCCAAGTTCTTGGACTCCCACACCCCCATGTAGGAAACCTGGATAAAGTTTCAAATTCCTGGTTTGGCCTGGCCCAGCTGTGGCTGTTGTAGCCATTTGGGAGATGAACAAGTGAATGGAAAATCTACTCCTCTCTGTAGCTCTGCCTTGCAAAATAAATCTGTCTTTAAGCGTATGCATGCATATCTGCACATACTTAGAGAAACTAACTTTACCTGAAGGTGTGGCACCTGGGCATCCAGGAAGTGACCCTGGTTCAACCTATTCGTTACCGTTTGCTCTGGGGGCAGCTCCAAAAGTCTTGAATCGGAGCAGGCTGCTTCCTCCAAGACTCAGCCCACTGAGCCCAGCAGGTCCCTCCCCATGACCACCTGCTACCTTCTCTGAAGCCGTTTCACTTGTCCACATCCTTTTGTGGGCAAGGGCCACCCAGAGCTCACATCTTAGGCTGAGGGCTGGCTGCATGGGTCTGCTCAGCCAATCTCTGCTCTCTCAGCACCTGCTGCCTGAACATGGGCCTCTGCAGGTGAGCGTAGAGCTGGGAGATGGAGGGGATTGTTTCAAGGCCCAGTTGCATTGGATAGTCTCTGCTGCCATCTCTGAAGTAGCAATAAGTACAGTCCTTTGCTCAGGAGGCTGCTGGGAACTAGGCTGGTTCCTCTAAAACTTTGACTATCAGAGCTCAGAAATCTGTTAGGCATTTCCCCAATATGCATCATTGCTGCTGAAATACCTTGTTCTGGGCCTGGGAAGACAGGGACCTACTTAAGAGATGCTTGCTGTGGTCTCTTTCTGTTCTTTTGGTTCTACAAAGACCTTCTCAGGCACAGCTGTCTCTAAAGACACAATATAATATGGAAATTCCTGCCACCTTGTGGCTAAGAAAGATCAGAGGGTCACAGCACAGATGGGATAGGAAATAACGTGCAGCATTTTTATTGAAATGGAGATCTCAAGCTGCTAAATTGCTGAAATCACGAAACCAGTAAGAGTAGTAAAAGGTTAAGGTCCTTCAATATTGGAGTCTGTGATGCAGCTGCCTTTTTTCTTTTGGATCCAGATAGGTTGAAGTCTGGCTTACCCATGTCTTTCGTGTTGGAGGATTTGTCCTGGGTGACCAGGACATGAGAGTATATAGACATTGAGTTCTTAGCCTTACTTTTGTCTAGTATCCTTCTTTATTTTCTCATTTATTTAAAACGCAGAGTTAGAGAGCATGCAAATACTTCCATCCACTGGCTCACTACCCACATGGCTGCAATGGCCAGAACTGGACCAGGACAAAGCTTGTAGCTTCTTCCAGGTCCCAGGTGGGTGCTGGGACCAAAGCACTTGGCCATCCTCTGCTGCTTTTCGTAGGTGCATTGGAAGCGATGCAGCCTTTCGTCTACATTCCTTCAAGAAAGGGAAGGGAAGCAAAGAACAGTGTATCCCAAAATATTCCTGGAAAATGAAGTCCAAAGATGTGCATTTTGATGCGCTAGAAATGGCAATTTTAAAAAATAATGTGTTTCCACAAACTGTGGGGTCCCTTGTGTGAGGTTCTGTCACAGATGCTTAGGGAAGACAAGTATGGTCTATGCCTGAAGTCCCTGAGGAGCCTGACACGGAGACCACGGGATTAAGGCAGACACAGGGCAGTGTATGTCGCACTCCCAGTTAGCCGTTCAAAGAAGGAACTGCACCCCTGCCCACCGGTTTGTCCACGTGAAGGGGGCAGGTCTGGTAGCAGAGGTGGCTGTGGTGAGTAACCTTGTGGGAAGTGCCTTGGGAGATCTGTGGTAACAGAGGCTTCTGGCTGCGTTTGTATTTTCCCCATCTGGGATTTGTTACTACAGGAGCTCCCTGGAGTGAGTGCTAAGGAGTGCAGGACTGTGAGGCAAACAGGGCGTTGCAGGGATGAGAGGATGGAATCCTGGAACCTGAGAATGGCAGTATGCAGTGCTGGCTGCTGGTCTACACCTGCCTTCCACCTCCATGCTCTCAGACCCTTCTTGGTTCTGGGACCTATTTTCCTCTCCCCTATCTCCCTCCCCCAACCACAGTGAAGAATTGAAAATCGGTTTCCCAATAAGGACAGTAGTGTCTAAGTGGGAACACCCATGGTGAGTACCTGAGTTGGGGGTGGGGAAGGCGTTATTGGCTATCAGCTGCCTAATCTCATTTTCCTGCCTAGACTTTCTCCCTGTTGGAGAAAGTGGACATTGTGTACCGGGGGTTAGGAGGGTGTGGAAGTTTGTCATACCATTACCAAGTTGTCGATTATTTTTTTAAAAAGGATAAATTTTAATTTTTTTAAAAAAGATTTTTATTTTTTTGAAAGGTAGAGTTACCTTCCATCTACTGGTTCATTCCTCAAAGGGCTAAAGCAGCCAGGGCTGGCCCATATCAGGAGCTTCCTAATGGTCTCCCACTTAGGAGAGGCCCAAGGACTTGGGCTATCTTCCATTGCTTTCCCAGGAGCATTTGCAGGGAGCTGGGTCAGAAGTGGAGTAATCGGAACATGAACCAGCATCCATATGGAATACTGGTGACAGAGGTTACTGCTCTACCCAGTATACCACAATGCCATTCCCAAAATTTTAATTTTTAAGACTTCTTTGAAAAGGGGAGAGGGAGAGATATCTTCCATCTGTTGGTTCACTGTGCCAGGTAAAGGCCAGAAGTTTGGATCTTCATCGGGGTTTCCCACATGGGTGACTGGGACCGTGTACTTGAGCCATCACCTACTGCTTCCAGGGTGTGCAGTGGCAGGAAACTGGGTCGGAATCAGAGCTGAGCAAGAAACCCAGGCACTCTGACATGGATGTGAACATCCCGGATAGTGTCTTTCTATCTGTACCAGGTGACAAGTTGGCCATTTTCACAATTGTCAAGTTCATTTAGAAATCTTTAAAAGTACAACTCGAAGTTTGTTTTAAAGTTGTACCCAAAAAGACTGGAAACAGAAGTAAATAAGCATCATCATCTTTGTTTACACCACTATCTAGTTTCGTTACTTTAAGGATTTTAACTACTCAAACAATAGAAAGTTTGATTAGTAAAGTGACAACTTGGGATGGAAAAGAGGTATAACCACAAAACTGATGCCACATTTGTTCTTCCACACTGTAAGTAACTATGTGCACAGACAGCTTCTCTCTTTGGTGTATATTTCATTTGTATTTGAAACTGCACCTGCTCAGCAGCTGAGGGAGTCTAGAAATGATGGGTGCATATCATGGTGCTTTGTTATTGATTTCAAACCAGGGTACAGCTAGCAGCTTATGATTTTTAGGGGCTAAAGACAAGGCTTTCTCTTGAAGTTGAGCCAGAAACAACTGCTTATGTCCCTCTGGCTTTGATGTGTGCAGACGTGTGGATACTGAGGAGGTTCAGCATTCGGTCCCCACCAATTGCTAGTACAGTTACTCATGAGCCAGTGTTGCAGGACTCCATCTCAACAACCTCGTGTCTTTGACTTTAAGGATTTGAGTTGCTCACCTTCATCTTCTGGGTTAATGTTAGTATCTGATGGGAGTGGCATCATGGTGTAGCAGTCAGTGTATCTGTGTGCAGTGCTGGTATCCAATATGTGTGTTGATTTGAGTCCTGGCTGCTCCACTTCCCATCTGACTGCTCCTTGCCTATGGCCTGGGGAAGTGTGGAGGATGGCCCAAGTCCTTGGATCCCTGCACCCACATGGGATTCCTGAAAGAAGCTCTAGGCTCATGGCTTAGAACCAGCCTAGCTTCAGCCATTGCAACCATTTAGAATTTGGGGAGTGAGCCAGCAAATGCATTATTCTTATTCTCTCCCACCGCCCAAACTCTTTCAAATGTATATATAATAAATATAAATTTATGGAAAATATGCATATATTTCTAAATTATCTGCCTGGTAGTTGGGAGAAAGTTGTTTCCAGCTGTAGCAGTGCTGCGTTGTGTTGCCAGTGCTCTTGTACACTGAGACCCTTGTGTGGTTCATCTCACTGCAGTTTTCTCCAGTTCTCCCTTACGAGCTGGAGTCTGGCTGCATCAGAACTGTCCTCCAGGGAAGGCTCCTTGGTACTACAGTGCAACCAGTGAGAGGATGAGAGTTGATGGTGCACCAAAGGGCTGCTTTGCTGGCTGCATGTGCTGCCCAAGTGGTTGACCTTGGCGCCGACAGTCTAAGCCAGCTGGTGGTGCCACCGACCTGTTAGTGGGCGGCGGTGGCTCTGGTGTTGAACAGATACAAGGAAGCACCGAAGCGTGGTGCCTATGCAGGTAGCTGTCACTGGCCTCCTGCTCTCCTGCCATTAACATCAGAGTCCACTGTGAGTGCTGCCCACTTCTGAGACCCATCTGTAATTAAAGGCAAATACCATTTGGATGAGTTGGAGGACAGAGAAAAGGTGTCAGCCAGCAGAGATTACACAAAATGTATCCTTAGATGTACTTTTCAAATAGGTAACATAAATCCACAGGGATACTAATTAAGGGGAGGGGTGACTGATGGCCATGAGGAAACTTGTAGGACACTGGCACATCCTGGTCTGGGCACACTGGAACATCCTAGTCCTAGCTCTCAGGATGTGTACCTTGTGAAAACTCATTGACTGCCTAGTGAAGGTTTTGGATACTTTCCCTAACATATATTGTAATGAAGCTGAGGAAGTAGGACAGGCAGCAAAACTGTCCCCCCAGAAGATTGGTACTGTAATGGGTGGATTAGAAAACGAATGCCCTCCTCCTGGTTTGATTCTTTGCCACCCCGTCCTTTCTGCCCTGGATCTCGTCACGAACTCCACAAGGCTCAGGACCACTGATTTCTTGGGGACTGACTTCCCTGAGAGATGGTCTGTCCTGAGTGGGTTAGAGAACTGCTGGTCAGGTCCCGGATGTTTTTATACACTCACAGAAGCATTTCTGTTGTTTCACATCTGTATTAACTTATTTGTCTTATCCTGGAAGATCCTGTATACACAGTGAGGGTGCTGTATACTTCTCATGTCTTCTCTGTTCCGCTTTGGAAAGACTATAGCCTGGACAGGACAGCTGCTTCACTTGGCTCCTGCTATTGGGACTGTTTCTTTTTTTTTTCTTTGTTTTGATAATCCTTACATATTTAATTGGGGTATAAAAGGTTCAAGGGCTAAAGGGGGATATAGAGGAAGAAGCCCCACCCAGTTTCCCACCCACCCTAAGTCCCAGATGTGGGGCATGCTCTGAGATACTCGATCAAGTGGTTCTAATAGTTCACCATTCATGGATCGCTACCAGTCTCTCCACTCTAAGCACGATGTGGTTGTTGAGGAGTCCATTGATTGACACAGTCCCTTCTAGAGTCTCCATTTGCCCAGTATTTTGCTGCCAACAGATAGCTGAGGTTGTTGCTTGACTTGTTCTGTCTTTTCTTGGTTAGGACTGTGAGTCCGGTGTCTCAACTGGGGAAATCCCCAAAGAAATTTTGGGGTATTCCCAGTCCAGATTCCTGCGTGTTCTAGTAAGCATAGGGCCCGGCACAGTCCATTGCCCCGATCAGCTGGTCGTTGCAGTTGCTGGGTCGGTTCTGTCTCCACCCGTGTCCTCCACTGGAACCAATGGGTGTTACAGTCCGGCCTGGTTCCGCCCTGAACACACTTGGCCCTCGCACGTACCAGTAGGAGCTGCAGCCCAGTCAGGGCGGCCACAGTAACCCCAACCAGGCCCACCCCCTACCCTGGCTTGCCAGTATGTATGGCATACTAGTCCAGTCTGTCCCAAATACCCTTCTGTTCATATACTTGCCAACAGGTGTTGCAACCTACTTCCATCCAACCATCTCATTATTGGGACTGTTTCTAAGCTGCTGCTGACCTCCTGGGTTAAACACAATCAAGACTATGACACAATGTGATGAGGGTTTTAAAAGGATTGATTCATTTAAAAGGCAGAATTAGAGAAAGGTATTTTATCCACTGCTTTACTCCCAAAATACTCAAAACAACCATAGCTGGTCCATGCCAAAGCCAGAAACTTTGTCCTGGTCTCATGCGTGGATGCAGGGGACCAGGACATGGGTCAGTCTCTGCTGCTTTCCACACAGTAATGCAGGGAACTAGATAGGAAGTGGAGTAGCCAGGACATGAACTGGCATCCCATATGAGATGCTGGCACTACAGGTGCAGGCTTACCTGATCCCAGTGGAACAAATTTTAATTTTATTTTTCCTTTGTAAATGGAAAATATATTCCATTTGCCTGCCTCTCCCCTTTACCCCTCATCACCACTTGCTTCTGAGTGGGCATTGAAGGAAAAGTGGGGTGTTGGGCTGCAAGAGCTGTGTTTACTGCTAGGGGAGGGACTTTGTTGAAAAGTTTCAGAGCCATCCCTGAGTGGATGTTTCAGAGCCAGTAACCCCTGAGGGGCTGGGTGTTCACTTTGCTAGGAGGTTTGTCAAACGGCTCAGCTTCTCTTCCCACCTCCTCTGTTGCCTTCCAGAGCCCTGGACAAACTGAACGGGTTCCAGCTGGAGAACTTCACCTTGAAAGTCGCCTACATCCCCGACGAGATGGCTGCCCCACAGAACCTGTTGCAGCAGCCACGAGGCCGCCGGGGGCCTGGGCAGCGGGGTTCATCCAGACAGGGCTCGCCGGGATCACCAGCCAAACAAAAGCCCTGCGACCTGCCTCTGCGCCTGCTGGTGCCCACCCAGTTTGTCGGAGCTATCATAGGGAAGGAGGGCGCCACCATCCGGAACATCACCAAGCAGACACAATCCAAGTGAGTTTCACACCTGTGCGCCTGGTCAGTGGGAGAGCAGCAGGTACACCCATCGACAGCTTCCAGATTGTCTTATACCCCACACCTCCAACCTCACAGGCCCTCTGGGCTCCATCCTTCATCCATGACCTCAGCATGCAAGCGGTTTTGTTAGTAAGAATCACTGGGTGGTGCAGCTTGGTCCTGTGAATAAAGCCAGGCAGTCAGAACAGCCGTTTTCATAGGACAATGTTGGGTAGCTTTGATTGGCAGGTTTTAAAGGACTGGAAATTTGAAGCCACCTTCCTAAGCATGGAAGTCAGGAATTGTTTATTTACTCTCAAAGCTCCAGTGGTGAGCCCTCAGATTAGTCCTAGGAGGGTGAGGACTGTGAATTGTGTTGGAAGCCCTCTGTGGATAGAAAGGCACTTGGGACAAGCTCTTGAAAAATGGAGTTCAAAGTTTACCTCCATGCAGACTTTTTGTTTTGTTTTTGTGTGTTTTAAATAAGGGAAGGCAGGTGGACAGAACATGCAGATGCAAGCATGCTTCACTCAAATGAATGGGTGGGTCCAGAAGCAGGAGTCCAGAGCTGCTGCTTTTTTTTTTTTTAAGATTTGTTATATTTTTATTGAAAAGTCAGATATACAGAGAGGAGGAGAGACAGAGAATAAAATCTTCCATCCATTGAGACACTCTCCAAGTAGCCGCAATGGCCGGAACTGAGCCCATCAGGAGCCTCCAATGGGTCTCCCATGTGGGTGCAGAGTCCCAAGACTTTGGGTTGTCCTCAACTGCTTTCCCTGGCCACAATCAGGGAGCTGGATGGGAAGCTGGGCCTCTGGGATTAGAACCGGAGCCAATATGGGATCCCAGTGTATGCAAGGCGAGGACTTTAGCCTCTAGGCTATCGCACCTGGCCCAAGTCCAGAGCTGCTTCTGAATACCCCAGCTGGATGGCTGGTTCTTTTTAAAAAAGATTTATTTTATTTTTATTGGAAAGGCGAATATACAGAGAGGAGAGACAGAGAGGAAGATCTTCTGTCCCATGATTCACTCCCCAAGTGAGTGCAACCTGCGGCCAACGCTATGCCGATCCGAAGCCAGGAGCCTCTTCTGGGTCTCCCACGCGGGTGCAGGGTCCCAAGGCTTTGGGCCGTCCTCGACTGCTTTCCTGGGTCACAGGCAGGGAGCTGGGTGGGAAGCCGGGCTGCTGGGATTAGAACCGGTGCCCATATGGGATCCTGGGCGTGCAAGGCGAGGATCTTAACCACTGCGCCACCGCGCCGGGCCCTATGGCTGGTTCTTAATACTTGAGCCATTGTCTTTTCTCTCCCATGTACATTAACAGGAAGCCAGAACTTCATTCAAACATTCTGATTGAGATGCAGGTAATCCGAGTGACAGCTTAACCCACTGGACCATAACACCAACCCCTCATGGAGAACATTTTTAAAATTGTTGTGCAGTTTTCTGTAATATGCATGTTCCATGAAACTTGTCCCCAACCATGCATGGATTCCAATTCTCTTTGTACCAAAATAACCTTTTAATCTCATCGTCAGCTCATTACATTAAAAGAAGTTTTTATTTATTTGAAATTCAGAGGAAGAAATAGAGATTATCCATCTGCTAGTTCACTTCCCAAATGACCTCGCTGTACAGAGCTGGGCTTGGGTGAAGCCAGGAACTAGGAACTTCTTCCAGGTCTCCTGTGTGGGTGCAGGGACTCAAGTGCTTAGTCCATTTTCCCATACTTTCCCAGGCAGATTAACAGGGAGCTGGATCAGAAGTGGGACAGCTATGACTCAAGCCAGCACTTGGGGTTCTGGCACTGAAGGTGACAGCTTTATTTGTTATGTCACAGCACTGGCCCTGCTGGTAACTTTTTTTTTTTTTAAAGATTTGTTTGTTTTTATTGGAAAGGCAGATTTACAGATAAAGGAGATCCAGAGAGAAAGATCTTCTGTCCACTGGTTCACTCCCCAAGGGACTGCAATGGTCAGAGTGGAGCCAATCTGAAGCCAGGAGCCAAAAGCTTCTTTCATTTCTCCACACAGTGCAGGCTCTCAAGGCTTTGGTCTATCCTCTACTGCTTTCCCTGGCCATAAGCATGGAGTTGGATGGGAAGTGCAGCAAATGGGACACAAATTGGCACCCGTATGGGATCCTGGAATGTGCAAAGCAAAGATTTAGTCACTGAGCTATCATTCTGGACCCTCCCTCTGATAACTTTTTGAAGCCGGTGTGGGTGTAAGAAACGAGCGTGTGCACACCGTGGGTGTGTGACTTGGCCTTTAGGCATTGAGTGGGAACAGATTCACTCTGTGTGACCCAAGGAGTCTGTGTAGTCTTCTTTTCTAGGCCTGCAGCGCTATGCCTTGCCCATGTGTTCACCCCAGCAGGCATAAGTGGATTCTGCACTCATTCCAGACAGCATGCCCGTGTCAAACCAGCTGCCTCCTCTCTTGCATAGTAGGTTATGTGCCCGTTTCCCATATGGTGGCATCCAATCCTGCAGGTGCTGCTCACCTGGGTGCAGTTAGTGGTCCTGTCCTTATAGTCAGGGGCAGGAGGCAGCTGAGCTCTGCCCTCCTTCCCTCTGTCTGCAGAGAATTGCAGAGTCAGAGCTGCTCCTTCCTGGACCCGCTGTGACCTGCAGGAGCTGCCTGTGTGCTTGGCCTTCCTTGTCGGGCAGCCCATGAGCCATTCCTCCTTCCTTCTCCAGCAGCTCATCTCCTCGCTGAACAGGAGGGAATGACACCCAGTGATGGATTGGTAAAACCCTCATGGGGGAGGGTTTGTTAACTCTTGTCCCTGAAGCTAGGCTTTCTCAGAACTCTGTTCCTGGAGTGGTCTCGGAGTGCCACAGCAGTTGGCCTTGCTCCCAGAGGGATTCGGAGTTTCCTGTCCTGTGCACGGCTCAGAGGACTGGCCCATTGTGTTCCTAGAAGCTGGTGGCTGCCAAGAAGATTCCTCAGATTGCTGCACTGTTGTCTGAGATGCTAATTTTTAAAAATTTATCTTATTTGAAAGAGAAATACTCTGTCTGCTAGCTTACTGCCAAGATGGTCACATGTCTAGAAGTGGGCCAGAGCCAAACCAAGAACTCTGATTCTCTCACGTGGTTGGCAGTAGCTCAAGTGCTTGAGCCATCTGCTGCTTCTTACTCCACGCGCATTAGTAGGAAGCTGGATGGGCATGGAGTGGCTCAGCCTTGAACTGAGGTGCTCCTGGGCTGCTGGCATTGTAGAGAACAGCTTAACTGGCTGCACCACAGCACTGCCCCCCCAAAGACACAGTTGTTTTTTTTTTTTTTTTTTTTTGATAAGCTGTTTCTAGATATCTCTTGCTTTTTTCATTCTTACGTTGTCTTTATTTTTATCTACAGGTTTTACATAGTTAAATCTTCAGTTTTGAGCAGCTCCCTCAGGAACGTGAACTGTAGACCTGGATTTTATTGACATGATGAAACGATTGTTCTCACCATATGATTTGCCTCACCCCTTATCTCACAGCATTTAGCCAGAGGGATGCTCTGCGTACTTGGCTTAACCAGCACACATAGTTTGGATGGTTGATGCTATTGGGCTGCTGAAGGAGCAGCCGACTTACTTGGGGTATTTATTTCTAAGAGTACAGAAACACTAAGGTCCATGCAGTGCACCCTGTGCAGTGGCCATTGTTAGATTGGGTTCCTCCTCTCTGCTGACATGCATGACTTCTGTAAAAGCTGTCATGATGTGGAGACATTTGTTTCATGTAAGGTCAAGGGCCTCTGAGCACCTGTTATTTCACCACATTTAAAAAATCGGCATTGTGATGTGGACACGCTGCTCTTTGACAGGCATTTTGAAGCTCCTCCCTATTGTTTTCAGTCACCAGTGTAGTGCAAACACTAGAGCCAACATTCTTGTGCCAGTGGCTCTCCGCCAAGGACAGTTCCAGCCCAGGAATGAATGGCGGACTGTGTCTGGGAACGCTCATGGTGTCACAGCCAGCTGAAGGACCAGAGATGTTTCTGGGCATCCTTCAGTTCAGGGCAACCCATGCCCCACAAAGAACCCAGGATGTAGAGTCCAGAGTTAAGGCCAAACAACACCACCTCAACTCATCTGAGACTCTGCTCGTGTCTGTAGGAGGTGCTATAGGAATTCCTGTCTCTGAGGGTCTAGGCCTGCCAGCCTGCTCTCAGCTGCCCCCAGAAGTACATGTACCCCGTGGTCCACCTTCCCACCAGATGCTTCATTCTATGTGAAAACATCCGCAGGACTGGAAGAAAGTGACATCTTGTTAGAATTGTATGAGTAGCATTTCCTGGCTTTTTGCTTTAATTCACAAAATTGCCATCTTTGTGAGTTTTGTTGTTGTCACTATCGCAAGCTTTCTTGTGTCAGGAACATAGAGCATAGAAAGGGCCTGGCCACAGACAGCAGATGAGTGAAGACAGTTCCCGGGCACCTGGCAGTCACACCTGTGGAGTCAGGAGTCGTGGCTGACCTGGGGCTGGGGTCCTGTCCCTACTCTCAGCAGCACTCCAGTCCTCAGTTGTTCTACAGCAGAGGAAAGCTTCTGTCAGAACCCGTGTTGCTGGACACAAGGTGCTCATCGCATGGCATCTGACAGGAAGCTGTTAGCTCGGACTGCTGGCTGGAGTGAAGGAGCAGTGTGAGAGCCTGCCTCTGTGGCGTCACTGTTGGTGGCTGCTCACGAGTCCCTGCCGGCAGGGTGAGGTGGTGCTGACGGATGGTGCTGTTAGTGGGTACTCACAGTTCTGGCTTCCCTTCTGCCCCACATCCCCAGAATCGACGTGCACCGCAAGGAGAATGCGGGGGCTGCCGAGAAGTCCATCACAATCCTCTCTACACCCGAGGGCACGTCCGCGGCCTGCAGGTCCATCCTGGAGATCATGCACAAGGAAGCTCAGGACACAAAATTGTGAGTCAGGAGCCCTCACCCTGGGAGGTGTGCTCATGGGCTGGTGTCCCGGGGGTCTGCGACACGGTGCCAGGGGAGTGCCACTGCGTGGCTGCACAGCTCATGTCTTGTGCACGTGCAAATGTTACCGCTGAATGTGTGACAGGACGTGACAGCATTGAGGTACAGCTGTGGAAGAAGCATCTGGGACATATAGGAAGCCTGCCTAGGACTGGAAAATATACGGGCATTTACCCATGGACTCTACAGGCTTGAATTGAACTCCATGGGACTCCCTTCTGGTCCTGGCCCCCCGACCTTGGGCAGCCAGACTCGGGGAAACAGGGAAGTTTGGAGACCTGTACCCAGGTGAAAGCAGGAGTGACTCACACATGGGTGCCACAGGCTACAGCTCTGCATAGGCCTTGCGCAGGGTGTTGGACTGAGGCTGGTTCCCCTGCCACCTTCAGTGGCAGAACAGTACTGCCCTAAAACAGAATCCGGAATAAGGAGTCACACTGGGCACCTGGTCCTCGGCCCTCGCTTTGTGATCTTCCCATGGTTAGACACAGGGGCTGTGCTAGAAGATGGAGTCTGTGTTGTAAGGAGGTCATTATCCTTTAGCTTGAGAAGCCCAATGTCTGGCAACCTTGGTGGCATTGATACAATGATGCGGATATGACTTGGATATTCAAAAAGGCCCAGAATGACAATTGCAAGCCCCCTTCCTGCTCTTCTCTCTGTGCTGCTGAGGTGTAACCCGCTTCTTCTGAGAACCTGGATCTCTATCAGGATTTTACTCTTTCACATTTCCACCTTGTGTTTAGTATGAGGAGTTTAGGAATATGGATTTGAGTCAGAAAATTCATCATTGAATGTTGGATGGTTCCTGATGTGAAGAGAACTTCTGTATTGAAAACTAACTTGTGTCTACACACTTCCCAGTGTCTTAAACCCTTCTGTCCATGTGTTGCTGGAGTGTAGGCTGTGTTGAGCTGCATTTGGCAGAGTGATCCCCATATGGTACAGAAGAAGTACATGTTTAAATGAGTGGAGATTGTGTTTTTACCTCAGTCGTCCTACCTTTTTTTTTTTAATAACCATGCTTTTCTGTTTATTTACAGCACAGAAGAGATCCCCTTGAAGATTTTAGCCCATAATAACTTTGTAGGCCGTCTCATCGGTAAAGAAGGAAGAAACCTTAAGAAGATTGAGCAGGACACAGACACTAAAATCACCATCTCTCCGTGAGTGTTGCCTTGCGGCACTTTTCCATCAGCTCACCCTCTCCCAGCTGACATGCTGTTCCTGTTTGTGAGCATGGCCTCGACTACCCCTCACTGTCCAGCTCTGTCTGCTCCCCGCTCTGGGTTTCAAACCCATGTTGAGAGCACTTCACCCTCACAGAGGGCATATGAACAACTATAGGCTTACACTGATCACTTCCTATTGAAGCCTCTATCTGCTTTTCTGGCCTTAAGCCCATTCGCCTACCACGTGACAGCTCAGGATGATGGTGAACCTTGTTTCCTGCGGTCTAGGGGTCAGGAGTTCAGGGATGGCATAGCTTGAGTAGTTCTTCAGCATCTTGTCTTCTTGCTGCCATCTAAATGCTGGCTGTTACTAGGAGATCTCACCACAGGAACCTTGGGGGTCCTTAAGACATGTTAGCTACCTCCTCCCGGGGTGAACGATTCAACAGCTACAGTGTCTTACGTGACATGGCCTCAGAAAAGTTATACTGTCGTTATCCTGAGATCCATAGGCAGTGCATACTATCAGAATACTGTGCAAGATTTTTAAAAATGTTTTATACTAAGATAAGTTTTTTACAAGATGTATTTACTTATGAAAGTCAGAGTTACAGAGAAAATCTCTTTCATCCAGTGGTTCACTTCCTCAGACGACTGTAATGGCCAGGGCTGGGACGGAGTCAAGCCAGGAGTTAGGAACTTCATTTGGGTCTCCCACATGGGTGGCAGGGGCCCAAACACTTGTGCTGTCTTACACAGTTTTTCCTGAACCTTTAGCAGGGAGATGGATCTGAAGTGGAGCAGCTGGGACTCACACCAGCACCCATAAAGGATGATGGTGTCATAAGGGCTGTCTAGCCTGCTGGATCACGACATCGTCTTTTACTGACATAAACTTCTAAGTCCATTTCTCATGAACTTTTTGAAGTCACTGTCTTGAATTCTGTACTTATTAAGAGGATCCCTTAAGAGGAAAAAAAAAAACCTTATCAACTGTTGCAACAAAAGCCACTCTAAACCACTGTGCTATGAACTGCTGTGTGAAGGCTGTGTGTATCTGGAGGGCATAGATAGACATGATCTGGGAGGTGGGGTGGTGCCAGTGCAGAGGGGCACATTCCCTTGCCTGGAACCCGTGGAAGCTCTGAAAACACAGAGGAAAGTTCTCTGGGGGTGACCATCATTAGTTCCCACCAGAGGGTCCGCAAGAGTGGAGAAGGCCAGAAGAATTAGGAATCAGTGGTATGGACAGACTGAGGTGCAAAATGTTTGTGTAGTAAGGGCGTTTTAAAGGAGGTGATAAGGAAGAGAGTTCTGTTTGTAAAGAAGGGGGAGGTGGAAAAAAACCCTGTAGAGTGGTAAGTAACATCACATTGTCTTGAATTTTGTGCTCCTAAAGGGGAGAGGGTTTTAAAAATTACTAATTTGAAAGGCAGAGAGAGACAGAGGAAGAGACAGAAATTGCTTGTTTACTCAAATAGCTTTATTCAAGAGCAGTATCCAGGTCTCCCAGCTGAGTGGCAGGGGCCAAAAAAACTGGGCCAGTTTCTGCTGTCTTCCCAGGTGTAATAGCAAGGAACTAGATCAGAGCTGGAGCAGCCAGGACTTGAAGTAACACACTGATATGGGAACCAGACTTTGGATGGAAGTGACAGTTTAGCCTGCTGTGCCATAAAGCCTGCCCCATTGGAAAGGTTTAAAAATAGATTTTAACTTTAAAAAATGATTTATTTATTTATTATTGGAAAAGCAGATTTACAGAAAGAAGGAGACCCAGAAACAGCAAATCTTTCATCTTCTCTCCACTGGTTCATTCCCCAAATGGTCATAACAGACAGAACTGAGCCAATCCAAAATTTAGGGCTTCTTCTAGGTCTCCCACGGGGGTGCAGGATCCCAACGCTTTGGGCAAGCCTCTTCTGCTTTCCCAGGCCACAAGCAGGGGCCTTGATGGGAAGTGGAGCACCCAGGACATGAACTGGTGTCCATATGGATGACAGTGTTTGCATAAGGTTTGCCAGTTGAGACATTATGTTGGTCTCTAAAACAAATCTTAAATACTGCTGTAGCTATAGCCATTGTACAAATAAAATTTGTACAGAATGCTTGATGTGTCTGGATTAAGACTGGATGTTAGCATTGCATCCTGTAAATAGTCTAAGAATATTGTCCTCATTGTCTACTTAAACTTTTCCCAAGAATAAAGGGAAAGTTATAGAATAAGATCGTATTTGGGGCCCGGCGCGGTGGCGCAAGTGGTTAAAGGTCCTCACCTTGCACGCCCGGGATCCCATATGGGCGCCGGTTCTAATCCCGGCAGCCTCGCTTCCCATCCAGCTCCCTGCCTGTGGCCCGGGAAAGCAGTCGAGGACGGCCCAAAGCTTTGGGAACCTGCACCCGCGTGGGAGACCCGGAAGAGGCTCCTGGCTTCGGATCGGCATAGTATCGACCCGTTGCGCTCACTTGGGGAGTGAATCATCGGACGGAAGACCTTCCTCTCTGTCTCTCCTCTCTGTATATCCGCCTTTCCAATGAAAAAAAATAATAAAAATAAATCTTTACAAAAAAAAAAAAAAGATCGTATTTGTCCCACACATGGCTGGCCTTGAGAATGAGGCTGTTAACTCCAGGGATGTGAAGTGACATGGCTGCTTGCAGTGTGTTTCCCCCAGGTGGGGGGTATGGCTCCAGTTGGTCTCTAGCTTAGGCTGGGCGCTGTTCAGGCACAGTCTGCCGTCTGTGGCATAACCTAGACTAGGCAGAGTGTTGCTGAGGATTGCCACTCACTTCACCTTTGTCTAATGACTGGCAACAGGTTAAGCATTTCTTCAGGATGGATTAGGTTCTGTTACTCTAGTGGCCAAAGCCCACTGAAGATAGCTGAGTTCTGGTTTGCCTTTTGGAACTGTTTGCATGCTTGGGGTAGTCAGAAGATGCATTGGCCAACAATGCCCCTTCAGGCTACAGTTGGTCAGCACAGACTGTGAAAGCACAGGCTAGTCAAAGGCCGTGTATTTTTGGCTGTTGGATTTTGCTAAAGTTGTACATCCTTCTAGTCACTCCTTTTCAGTTCACTGGTGAATCAGGAAAACTTTGAAATGGTTAGGAAACTAGCTATGTCTAAAACATAGGCTTGGTGGAACTCTGTGTAGCCAGTAATAGTCATCAGAACCTGAAGAGAATTCCTTTCTTTTCCTGAAGCTTTGTAATGCTTGGCTCCATGTGCCGCAGGCCTTCCTCCTCTCCCATCATGTTTGAGCACTGACCTTGGCACGTGTTGCCAGCCTCTATAGCTGCTTTCCATTGCATCTGTAGCTGAATTGTCACTAACCATCCTCCTCCTGTGGTCTCCACCCTTTCTCAACCCACAGATTGCAGGAGCTGACACTGTACAACCCAGAGCGCACCATCACGGTTAAGGGCAGCATTGAAACGTGTGCCAAAGCTGAGGAGGAGATCATGAGGAAGATCAGAGAGTCCTACGAGAATGACGTGGCCTCCATGAACGTTAGTTTTCTAAGATGGGAGGGTTGTGCCTGTTTGCCTGAGGGCTAAAAGCTGGTTGTAAGTACGCGATGGTGATTTATTGAGTGGTGGTGGTATTATTTGATTTTTAACACCTTTGCAAATAACCCTGGGGATAGTAGGAAAGACTTAGACTTGGCCTTCTCTGGGGGTTATTCCGTCTTGAAGCTTTATCTTTTGTATGTGTGGGGTGAGTCTAGTACCTGCCTGCAAACGCTTGATGACTTCCTGAGAATGTTAGTGAAGGAGTTCAGTGCAGACAGAAGGTGGGCTGCAGAGGCACGTGAGCTGGTTTGGAATCTTCATTCACCTGCAAATTGCAGCTCTAGCCTCAGTCTGCTCAGCCTCCCTGCGCCTTCACTTCCTCGTCTGTGAGTTGGGTCTGTAGTCTGTCCTTGTTAGGACTACAGCAGAGCATGTCCAATTGTTCCCAGGAACACAAAATTAAAACTTAACTGTATTTATGGCAAATTTGGACATGAAGAATTTCACATGACAAGAGTGCATGTAAGGCTAGATAAGAAAATGGCTGACATTATTTAATGGATGGAATGATTTACTTAGTTTGGAGACCCATTTTAATTTTTTTTCCTTTTAAGAATGCTGAATATATTTGAAAGAATAAGAGAGTAGGAAGAATAGAATTTGCTAGTTCACTCCCCAAATGACCACAACAGCCAGGGCTAGGTCAGGCACCTGAAACTCTCTGGATAACCCACATGGGCACAGGGGCCCAGGCACTTGGACCATCCTCTGCTGCCTTCTCAAGTGCATTTGTAGGAAGCTGGATCAGAAGTGGTGCAGTACTCTGACTTAACTCATTGTGCTGTGGTGCCAGCCTCTGTTCTAAATCTCAGATGATTTAGAACACTTTTCAGCCTGCCTGTCATGCAGTAGAGAACTCAAGGAGAGTGGTGTGTCTCATCGGGAGAGCGCGGAATGCTCAACCCTCTGCCAGAGACTGGTGTGTCCCCTGGTAGCCGCAAAAGTCGGTACCTCTGCTCAGCTGGTTCTGCAGCCCTGCTTAACATTTCCTGAATGAATTTTGTTTTTCTCTTTAGTCTCAGACTGTGTGCCCAGTGGGCACAGCTAACCCTAGGGGAAGGGAAGCTGCAGTCTCGGCAGCAGTGCAGGCCCAGAGGCGTCCCAGGTATCCTGTTGGCCCAGTTGACGGATCCATTTCCCCATTGCAGCTTCAAGCGCACTTGATTCCTGGACTGAATCTGAACGCCTTGGGTCTGTTCCCGCCCACACCAGGCATGCCACCTCCCACCTCTGGGCCCCCCTCAGCCATGGCGCCACCCTACCCACCACTGGAGGTAAGAGCCCATCATCTTGCCTGCCCTGCCTGGTGTGACAGGCCATTTGGATCCCCACAAGGCTCTGGGGAGCCAGCGTTTCCAGTTCCTATAGGATTGAGTGATCCAAGAAGTTTAGGGGAAGGTGAACCTAAAATGGAAGCTTGAGAGCAAGTGTATGAACTTACTGTGTGCTGTACCCTCTGGTGGGTTTGTTCCAACCCTTTACATCTGTCAGAAGTGAGCCCAGACAGGCACCACGGTGTGTGTTGGGGACAAAGGAGGATTTGGTATGAGAGAAGCCCACAGCTAGCTTGTCTTTCTTCTGGCTGCCCTAAAAACCCAGCTTTCTTTCTAGGCAGGTCTCTTTACCATGTGCCCTTCAGGTTCCTGGCCTGTCACCTGCCCCTCACTGCTGCTGCTGAGTCCAGTAGTACACCTCCTGGGCATCACAGGCTTGGCAGAGAACCGTCTGGCACCAGCAGCACACGTTCCCAAAGACGAATGCTAGGGACCTGTTCTTTAAATACCGTAGTGAAAGACATAGTGCTTTTCTGATTTCCTGGTATGGTGGTGTGTATTCAGTTTCTGTATTAGGAGAACTGACCAGGTGTCCTGGTTAATCTGCTTTTGAGCCAGCTTCCTGTTCTTGGCAAGTCCTTTGCCACATGCCTGGGAGATATGTGTGGATTTCTTGGCTCTTGCCTTCTGCCTGGTGTGACCTATGTGGTGCGGGCATTTGGGGAGTGAAATCAGTGGGGGAAAGTTCCTCTAGCCGCCCTCCCCCCACCCTACCCCTCCTCTCTTTCTCTTGCTGTGTCATTCAGCCTTACAAAATTCATCTTTTTAGAAAACAGGAAAAGTTTTCACAGAAAAAAACATAAGGAAAAAAATTTGGCACCCAAATAAACTTCCCTTTAAAAAAAAAAAAACCTGCTCATTTCCTTCTTCAAAGGCAAAGATATCTTTCTTCCACTGGTTCCCTCCCCAAATGCCCCAAAAGTTGGGGCTGGGCCAGGTTGAAGCCAGGAAGCAGGCAGTTCATCCTAGTGTCCAGCATGGGTAACATGGCCCGAATATTGTTTTCAGTGTCACAGTAGCCATACCCCTTTCCTGAAGAGTGAGACAGAGGGTGGAGATCGCTGGGCTGTCTGTGGTAATATGCCCTCCTTGCTTGTGCTGGATAAGGACTCAATAGTACATGAGAGAAGCGTGGCATCCCTTGTCCCATAAGGGCAACAGTTAACCTTCCACCTCCCTGCTTGTGGCCTTGGAAGGCAATAAAGAATGGCCCAAAGCCTTGGCACCCTGCGCCCACATGCGAGACAAAGAAGTAGCTCCTGGCTTTGGATCAGCTCAGCTCTGGCTGTTGTGACCACTTGGGGAGTGAACCAACCAGTGGATGGAAGATCCTTCTTTTTGCTTCTCCCCTCTGTAAATCTCACTTTCCAGCAAAATAAATAAATAAATACATCTTAAAATCTATGTCTATATTTTTGAATGACAGCACACCTATTTGCCTTCTCACTCCCAGATGTCCACCACAGGCAGGGCTGAGCCGGGCCACAGCCAGGAGCTGAAACTCAATCTGTCTGTCCCCAAGGACAGCAGGGACCCAGGCAGGAAGCTAGAATCGGGGTGTGTGAGTCTTAACTGCTCGTCTAATCATGTCTCTCCGTGAGCTTTCTGTGTTGGTATCTTAATGTGAGTGATTGATAGACTCACATTTACCCAGGCATATGTGTGTCTAGATTCTGGCATTCACTGGGGTCTTAGAATATGTCCCCACAGTCAGAGGCAACTCCTGTTTAATGTGTCCTGTGGTCCAGGTCACCAATTTTTTTAAAAAGATTCATTTTAATTGGAAAGTCATGTTTACAGAGAGGAGGAGAGACAGAGGACGATCTGTCTGATGATTCACTCCCCAAGTGACCACAACAGCCGGAGCGGAGCCAATCCGATGCCAGGAGCTGCTTCTGGGTCTCCCATGCTGGTGCAGGATCCCAAGGCTTTGGGCTGTCCTTAGCTGCTTTCCCAGACCACAAGCGGGACCGCTGGGATTAGAACCAGTGCCCATATGGGATCCTGGCGCGTGCAAGGCAAGGACTTTAGCCTCTAGGCTACCATCAGGGCCTCGGGTCGCCAGTTTTTAGGGGGAAAAAAAAAGTCTTTTAAGGTGGTAGTTATGTTTTCCAAAGTTTTGTCTATTTCTTTGCTATTGCTTCTTGCGACTTCACACTTGTTGCTGAAGAACACACTACTGTGGGTGTGTTGTGTTGTGCTGTGATGTTGTTTTTGTAAGCCTGCTCTAAAGAAGACAGGGTGGACAGGCATTTGCTGTCTTAAACCTGCTGCTGAGATGTGTGCTGTTTCTTTATTGTTGCCTCAGAAGTGTGCTTACCCAGCAGGCACATCCTTGCTGTTGTGTGGCTTCAAGTACTGCCTTCATCTTAAAGGTCAGTATGGCTTGGTGGTGAAGCGTTGAATGTAACTTACTCTTGATGCATTACTTCCTCCTCCTGCTGGAATTCACTTCTGCACTCAGGTTTCTCATGTGCATTGTGCTGTGCTCATAGAAGGTGCGTCTTGTCTTTGGGCAAATCCCTTGCCTCTGTTTCATTCCAGAACTCTGCCCACTGTCTTTCTCCAACCACTACCGGATTCTCTCTTCCCAGAACATGCCAGGTTCAAAACAGTTGGTTCTTCTGTCAGACAAAAAAGTCGCCAGTTCCTGCCCACCAGCTGGCCTGGGCAGTTCTTCCTGGCCGGCTCTCTGGTGTTGATCAATGACAGGAAATGCTGTGTTCAGAAATGCTCACACGGTAGGGAAGAGAAACCTGGCAGCAAGCACAGAGCGAGGGCTGAGATTGGCATAGCCCCCATTGCCTTGGCCGGCTGGCTTGGCCGCTGGCACTGGGGCTGGCAGCAAGGGCTGTTGTCATGATCATTTTGATAGCCCCTTTGGAGTCTTCCCAGAAGCCCCTGGGATGACAGCAGAGCCTGAACACTGCTTCATGAAAGAGGCAAGAAACCATTGAATACTGTGTCGCATACGAGCCAGGTTCAGGTGCTATACAAGAAAAGTTCAGATGGAACAGTGCCTGTGTGCAGTTTCAGCCCTCAGTTCTGCACCGTGGGAGACCACTTTTGTTGGTCCACAGCTTCCGTGTAAACAGCACGTGCAGACAGTGCCCTGGCCACTTAGACCCAGAAACTTTGTCTCTCTCTTTTTGAAAAACAAAAAAGACTTCAGTACTTTGTTCAGGTCATGGAATTGAGTAAACTTAGTTTCTGTTCCAGACCAAAATCCATTTAAAAACAACACAACCCCACAGGAGTGCCTGTTTTACAAGTGAGAGAAGCCTTGGCGCCCTTCCAGCTGCCCGAGGCAATGCTAGTTGGCTGGGCTGCATGCATGGCTTGGTCCTTGCTTTGTGATGTCTTAGATTCTTGTTCTCCACAGAGTAAATACCCTTAGCCTTTACTGTTGGATCTCGTAGCTCTTCACGATGGAGGATGGGGAACTTCTCACTGGAAGGCTTTACCAGTTAGGCAAATGTTTGAGTTGAAGAACTTTGTTCCAAGCCATGGCATCCAGTCTGCCAAGAAGTCCAAAGGCAGTTTGCCCTGTGGGCATCTGACCAAAATCCACTGGGAAGATGCTTGCATCCCGTGATTGACCTCTGCCCCTGAAGAGTTTTTCTGTGCTGGAGTTGAGGAGGAACAGCAGGGCAGGATGCCAGGGGCAAGGGGCATGAGGATAAGGTTAGCCTGCTGAAGGGTCTCTCCCACCAGAGCTTGGCAGTCACCGCTCGCAAGTGGAAAAGTTTAGATGGAACATTGCCCTGACCACTTGGTTGTGTGAGTAGGGTGACACCCCAAACATGTGGAACCCCTGTGATAATGAGTGACAGCAGATGGCCAACTACATGGCTGTCACAGAGATGATCTTCCTTGGGAGTTTTCCCTGTAAGAGTACTCTGCAGTCAGGCAGACAGTGCACAGATGTGCAATTGAAGCAGAGAAAAACAAGTGCTGCTGTGAATGTCGTGTTGCAAGCCCCGGATGAGGCAGCTTGTCCTAAAGGTGCTGTTGCCAGGAGCGTTTATCCTAGAGTACCCTGCCTCAAGGCAGGCCAACTCACTTTGCTTCTAAAAGTTTGGAAAACTCTTTTGATTCTGTTGTCTTGTTACATTTTTTTTCTGACGTTTTTCTGAAATGCATCCTTAACTGCACACTGGATTTATCTCCTCTCATTTCCTCCACTTCCCCCAAATCAACAGAACAGAAACACTGACAGCCTGAGGGGTAAGTCCTCTTAGTTTCTGCCCTGCGTGTCTGGAGTCCTGGCCTTCCTTGCCCCCAGACCGATGCAGCTCCACAGGGGTTGAGCTTTTGAGCTACTGCGACCCCACAGCTGCTTTTAAGCTGGCAGCTATGACAGCGGTGTCCTCTGGAGTCAGTGTTAAAAGCTCATGAATAGGTTTTCCTCTTAGAGAAGAGATAAATCATGGGGCTGGCACCATGGAATAGTGGCTTAAACCTCTGCTAGCAGTGCCAGCATCCCAAATGGGCACCAGTTTGAGTCTTGGCTGCTTCACTTCCAGTCCAGCTTCCTGCTGATATACTTGGGAAAGCAGCAGTAGATGACCCAAGTTCCTGGGGCCCCTGCACCCCTATAGGAAACCTGAGGGAAGCTTCAGGCTCATGGCTTAAGGTGTGTCTGGCTTCAGCTGTTGCAGCCTTTAGGGAAGTGATCCAGCAGATGAAAAATCTATTTTACCATCTCTCCTCTCTGTGAAACTTTCAAGTGAAAGCAGATATTTTGGCGGGGGTGGGGGATGGCCTGTAGCTGGAGCCATGGCACAGTGAGCTAATCCTCCACCTGCAACACAGACATTCTGTATGCGCACACGTTGAGTCTGGGCTACTGCACTTTTGTCCAGGCCCTGCTAATGGCCTGGGAAAGTAGCCAGGTAAGACACAGGTCTCTGAGACCCCTGTACCCACTTGGGAGACCT